AAAAAAAAAAACTTGCTCAACCCTTGATCTAGATTGCCAATCAAAACTTCCTAAACAGTGAAATCTTGGCAGAGTTTATCATGATCCCAGAGTCTGAGAGAATACAGAGGTATGATTCAAACAACATACTTCCCAATAACGCAACACAAACAACATTTATTGAATATATGTTCCATGAAAGTTGCTGCATTAAGATTGAGAACAGGGAAGAATCTGATCTTTTCTCTCAGGTTTATGCGAATGTAAACCAAATGCTGTGTCAGAGACTGTAGTTAAAAGCTTCCATTAGTTTTTCAGTGTGTGTTTGATCCCATGCTTGTAAAAAATTAAAACATTATAGATGTAAAGTAAAAAGTGAAATTACCTACACAACTCTCACTCTCCGAAAATAATTAGTGTAATTATGTGATTGCTTCTAGACCTCCTTGTCTTATTCACATTGAAATCTAGTATCCCTCCTACTCTCAACCATCCCTCTCCCTCCCCCTGCTCCCTGTCTCTCTCTCTCTCTGTCTCTTTCTCTCTCACACACACATACATAATATTGATAGCAAAAATGAAACCATGTTGTCATTGTTACTCAATTTCCTTTTTTAAAAAAAGATCCAAAGTATATCATGGTTGTTCTATAAAACTGGAATATAATGGATAGTTTACCCTAAGCCCCCAACTGAGTACTGCTGATGTTATAGGTTGAGAGTGCTGGCCTTGGATCCATACTTCGGGGTTTGAATCCCAGCTCCATCCACCATTTACCAGCTTTGTGGCCTTAGGAAAGTCACTAATCTCTCCATGCCTCAGTTTCCTCACCTGTAAATGGAGAAAATAATAGTTTCAACTTCAGAGGGATATGAGAATTAAATGAGTTCATATTTGTAAAGCACTTAGAACAGTGCTTGACACAGAATAAGCCTTATATGTGTTTGATAGTATTGTTATTATGATTATTATTAGTAGTATGAAGGCTAGGTGTCTAATGAATGCTCATGTCTTTAATAGCTCAAGACCGACTCTGAGATCAAGAATTGAAATTATTGGCAAGAAAGTAAGCAAAAAGTAGTATATGTCTTATTGTAACTAATTATAGATCTTTTCTAAAAATACTAGATAGATAAAACAAATTTTACATAATTAAATGTATAAAGACCCATTTGAATGTAGATAGTGACAGAAATATTCTGAAATATCTAATCCACAAAATGTCAAGTGAGTCACTGATACTCTCTCCAGCAATGAAAATGCCTTATCTGATGTCCCTGGCTGATTTGGGGTCTAGTTTATTTCATTTAACCAAAGATGATTCACCACCAGCCTCCTTCCTTTTCTACCCAACTCTCTACCTAGCATTGCCAGAGTACGATGGGCTTGTTTGTGTAATAGATCTGAGAGGGTCCTAAAGGTCTAACTGCTTCCCTCGCAGGTCTAGGTTGGTGCCTGGAATTTCCACACTCCAAGTTTTTACTCTGGGTGAAAGCAGCCTGTCCAGAAGACCTTATTAAAATGCATATATGCCACCTAGGAGGTAAGAAGGAGAGTAACCCATTAAAAGTTAACACATAATAATTGATCAGATTAGCAGTCACGAAGGACCCTCAGGGAAGGGAACACACAAGGCTTGTAAATTCAGATAGCTCACTTCACTTTAAAAAAAAAAGGAAAAGGAA